GAAATATTTTTTGGGTGCTTAAAAAGTACTTAAAAGGTGCTTATTTTTTGTTGAAAAATCTGGCTACTCACCCTGTAACATAAAAAACTTCAAAAACACGTTTTTCAAATCACGGATTAAAATTTAATAAAAAATGCAATTTAAAAGAAGTATACGTTAAATAAAAAAAAATTCTTTTATTAGTTTCAAAATTAGGTTAGCTATTAACTCCCAAAAGAAGTAATTTCATACTATGAGCCCATTAAAAAATTTAAAATTTAGTTTAAAATTGTAAATTAAATATTTTTAAAATTAGATTTTAATATTTTTGATTGAAGTATCGCTAATTTTAAATGCAACTAAATGTCATTTAAAAAATATTAATTTGAATACAACTCCTAAATTCAGCATTTTAAAAATTCTGCAGTTATTGAATTAATCAATCAAGTTTTTTGTCTTTATAATATTAAAAAGTCCTAAAAATTCTGAAATAAGAAAGCGGGTGGAATGTATAAGATACTTCAATCATTTAGTAGAATTATTTGTGAATAGTTCCACACTTCAACAAATCACAAATTTTTACAATTTGAAATTGTCTATTAATTCTTAATAGATTAGACAAAAGAGCGGAATTTCTTGGATCTATAGAAAAGTGATTTATTAAAACTTTTTAAAAGTTTTGTTGGAAAAATTACAATGTTGATAGGCAATTCTGAAACTAAATTGGCATGAATTTGTTACTTTTCAATCAATCATATTGAGATATATTCCTGAATAAAATATTATGAACATTTTTATATTTGAAAATATTTGTGCATTTTTGTAAGAAAATTTTTTTAAAATTATGTATAATTAAATAAAAATTGAAATACAATATATATATATATATATATATAATTCAAAGATTCAGCTTAAATAAAATAAATAGAAATACCTACAGCTCCTGCACCACCTGCAACTGTTTCATAGTATCCAACAGTTTCATCTCCGAATGTTATATTGTTCATACAACCCTATAAGTGAACATTTGAAATTCATTATTAAAAATACAAAATCTCAAATAAATAAAAAAAATTACAAAATTTTTAAAAAAATAAATAAACCTTAAATCTTTAAACCTAGTGACATTCTCAATTACATTTTTAAAAAAACTAGTTTTATCGCATACAAACTGAGCAAAACATTTACTAATATTCATATTTCAGAAAACATATAACATATTAACTTTTGGGTATTAATTTGTAGCTCACCGAAAACCAAATAATAATACAGTGAAAGCTAGGTTAAATGGATAGTAGGAAGCAGGAATTGAGTGCATTTAAGGGGCCTCATAACCTGCGTCATCCAAATAAAAAGATCAAAAGATGCTGCTATCCAAAATATCTCACATGAGCAATATCATTTTCTTGTCTTTGTAAAAATATAGAAAGGTGAGAGAAGAAAAATTGACTCTTAAGACATGAAATAGCTCAAAAATATTTTTAGTTGTGGATGAGGCAAAAAACTTGCATGTTTTAAAAATTGAAACAACAAATTTTNTTTTTTTTTTTGAAAATTTAATATAGAAAGTTTTTTTTTTTCAAATTTAGAAAAACATTATGCCTGATTTGAAGAGATAGAAAATAACGTTTCAGAGCATAAATGACTGTCTATGTCTGGTTACAGGAATGTCCACTATGTGGAGAGGGTAGAAAATTGTTTATTCATAAAAGATTCAGAGGAAATCAAAAACCCTACCAACCATGTTATGCCAGCCCAAATGGAATTGTAATTTCAACATTTAAGTGTCACTATTACTAAACTGTAGCTGAAGCCATGCAAAAGTGAATACGGACTTCAGTGGGCATATAAAATATGCTTTGCTGTCAAACAAAGCAGTTTTCATGAGGGATTAACCTCACTAATAAGTTAAATAGTGAATCAGAGAGTAAAATGGATATTTAATTAATAAGGTTTTTATTGTAATTATTATTCAAGAGCCTTTTTACTGTTTCTTTATGTAGTTTATAAATAAATGAAGAACATGAAATAAAAAAATGATATATATAGTTTTTACACATTTTATATTAAAAAGTGATGATTATATAAGTGATGATTATATAAAGTGATGATTATATAAAGACATGATTATATAAGTTTAGTTTTTATATACTTACTTGAGAGGCAGCACAAGTTTTGAATGCTTTAAATATGACATCTACCACCCTTTGGGATGTCAATACATTTCCCCCCACAACAGCAGCCGTGTCTGATGGACACAAGATGCTTCCTTCTGGTATCACTATTTTCACTGGAGCCAAACAACCCTATGAATAGGTATTAAAAAACACATTTAAAAATTACAAATTATGAGGATTAAATGTTATTTTGAAAATCTATTATCTATTTAAAAATTATAAAAACATAGGAAACATTGTAGTTATAAAATATTGGATTCTACATTTTCAGTGAGTATATTTTTGTCAATATTATTAGTTTTGAAAAAAAAACTGTAAAATATGGATTATAAATCACAAGGAAAAAAGGAGAGTAAATGAGGAGAGATTTAAAAAAAAAAGAAATTACAGTCGGACTTCTATTTAACGAACTTCCATTTTACGAATTTCTCTATTTTGCGAATTTTTTCGTGGAACCAAGAACATTTTGGAAATTTCTTCGTTAAATAACTTCTAAATAGCGAAGTGAATTTTCTATTTAACGAATTTTTTTTTTGGATCTACTTTCCCCATTTCCCAAAATATTTGAGAAAATTATTAACTAGTTAACGCATTTTATGGGGGAAATAACCTTGAACTGATTTTCGCATCCCCTTAACTTTTAGAGAAAGCAGTAAAATTCCTTTCCCTTTTTGTTTGCATTTCATACAGGAAATGCAATCCCACTAGAAAAGGGGGGAAAGGGTCAAATTCCTTGAATAGGAAATGAGCAGAGAAGATAAAAGGAATGGGTCATCAAAGTGTGTGGTCCCTGGTCCCTTATTGACATGTCCTATTATCTCCACCCCCACTGTTCACTTCCTTTCTAGAAAAACTTTCAACTTTCTCGTTGTTCACTCGGTAGAGCTCCTGTTTTAAGATTGCTGATCAGAGTGCTGCTTGTTGCTTTTCTTACGGCTGCAAAATGTCGAAGCGAAAGTGCCTGACTATTAAAGAAAAAAATTACAAGATAAAGGTGCATCAATTGCAATTTTAATTATTTCTAGTATCCATGAATTTAAAACCTATTCTACGTTGTGTAAGTATTTCAAAAGATGATTTTCTATTTAACGAATTTTCCATATAACGAACTTTTTTTCGGGATTTAGCGACTTCGTTAAATAGAGGTCCGACTGTAATTACCTTACTTGAATATTACTTACACTTTCCTCCTTCCCTTATTCGCAAAACTAAACAAAAACAAACTTTTCATATCTCCTTACGCTCATGTAGAATTTTGATGTCCCCTTATCTGATGAAATATAAATAATTTCTATCGATTTCAATTCAAATTAGTTCTGTTTGGATAATAATAATTAGAGTTCATTTTATTTCTGTTTTTAAAATAAATGCATGTTATATCATCATAAATATTCTGAGATGATTCACTAAAAGAATAAAATATGATTTTTAATATGGTTGAACTTTAATTAATGATTACTACATCTTTTGTTTTCCAGTATGCAACATTTTGTTTTAACAGTCTTTTCAAACGCTTATCACATAATGTTAATGAAATCCTATGGACATTTAAAAAAATATTGAAGTTATTTTCTTTTGAGAAGCAACTTTTGATGCTTATAAGAAGAAATGAAGCTTCGTTACTTTTTGTGAGAAAACGGCTTACATCACAGTCGATGTTTATGCATCAGTTGACAAAAACATTAAAACTTGTGAAGTTGTTGATTCAAGAAATGCTTTTGGAAGCTGAGAAAGTGTAAAGTGATATTGATGATGAAGAAAGAGAAACGGAACCACAATCAATGCCAACATTTGTGGAAGGCCTTAAATCTTTTGACACAATAAGGAATGTATAGAAAATGAACAGATGTTACAAATGTCAAAAATTTACTGTTTTTGCTAAGAATAAAAGAGTGTTGTTCAAACCAAAATTCGTAAATATTTTAAATAAGTACCAATATTTATCTTTCTTTCTTTTTTATAAACATTTTTGAAGTTGGAACATAATTGTTTCAATTAAAATTTTAAATACTTATTTAAAATTTAATAATTTTTATGTCCATTAACTTTCTTAATTATTTTACAGTTTTCATTTTTAATAAAAAATAAAATAAATTCATTGAAAAATAATGAAGACAAAAAAAAAGACGATTTAAACAAGAAAAAAAAATTTACAATTGTAACTAAGATATTACAAAGATATTCCCTAAAAAATTATCAAAAAAATAAAACAAAAATGTACAAGAAATTGCAATTATATCAAAAAAACATATAATACCTTAAATTAGTTAATTTAAGAGGCCATCAAAAATATTTTACATAAAACATTTATACAGAACATATAAAAACTTTAAAACTTTCAAGAAATTTGTATTGCTAAAATAGATTCCATTTAATTTTCTCAGAGATTATAAAACCAAAATAAAACCTTAATATTTTAAAATTGATATTAAAAAAATAACTTAAATAAAACCAAGATTTAGGTAACATACTATTTGATATATTTTGTTATTATAATTGTGAGAGTTAATCTAAGCACCTGATTCAGAGGGACATCGTGACCAACCATGCATCTGAGGCAGTAAATAATGGCTGAAAGAGTAACAGCTCTAGGAGCATTACAATTTCCATATACCTGATACCCTGTACCAGAAAAGTCAAAAACTGCACTGCCCTAAATGGAAACAAAAGTACAAAAAATTAAAAATTAAATGTTTAATAACAATAAAAATTAAGTCCATAAAAGAATACAACATTTTACATAACCTCTCGATTAAGCACTATAATAAGTTTTTGAAAAAGCACTTGTGAAAAAAAGAAAGATCATATAAACTACACTTAAATTAAAACGTAACGTATATCCATGCAATGTCTATAATATGCTGCAGAAAACTTCAATATCAGGCAAACACATGCAATTTAATCTAAAGGGACATGTGAAAATTTTATTTCAAATCTGGATATGGAAAAAGTTGTGGCTTCCAGATTCAAAAGTGAAATTTAAATTTTAACTAATATTGCTAACATTAAAAATTGCGTAATTTCAGAAAAAATTTCAGAATAAAAACATAGAAACACTATACATTGCTGCAATAGTTTTTCTTTATTTATTTAACTTTTAAACCATATTAAAAACAAAATTATACTTTAATTCAGAATAATAAGTATAATACAAAGAAATGCTTTATGATAATATTCGTGATATTTTTTTCCAAATATTACGGTAAAAAGTTGTGAAAAAATAGCTTATATTTTTGAATTATTTCTCGAATTAATATTTTAATTTATCAAGTGAAAAGAAAAACACTCCATTAGTACCTACAATCAAAATTAATTTAAAGTATTCTAAGACTTGATAAAGATTTAATTAGATCACTTACTTTATCAACATCGATATCAATTTTTAAGTTAATGACAGTGCCATCATCCATACAGTCACTAGCTGCCAGTGTTGTAGTACCTCTGGATTTACGAGATGTTTCTCCAATTTCTTTTAACATGTCTCTCACTGCTAACTCAGCATTTTGCTAAAAGATTAAGAATACGTATTCGACCGTTATAAAAAAATTTAATATTTTGTATATTCCTAACTTTATCATATCATAACTGTGTTGTACAAGCATTTTGCTCTCAACTAAAAAAAATATTCAATTTAAGAAACCTGCTGACTTTAAACAAATTTATATTTTACATAATAAATGTAAGCATGTTCAGGAATTGATTAGGGCTTCTAAAATAAAACATTTCAAGAAAACAGCAGGTTGAAACAATAATTTCAATAAAAAAAACAGCACTCACTTTCACAATAAACTAGCTTCAAATGGAAACACAACTTAGCTTCAAATGAAACTCAATAAATAAGATGTATAACTTCAATGGATAAAATTCCATATTATTCTATGCCTTTAGCAATGTTAAAATAAAATAATGAAGAAAAACAATAATTTATTTTATAATTATAAACCTAATAATGCTGATATGTTAACCTTATTTTAAACCATTTACTTTTTCAATGTATTTGCAATAATAATTTATACACACAAGCGCATAACACACCCAAGCGCATAAGTTTTTAAGCGCATTTTTAAGCGTTCACAAGCGCATAAGTTTTTAATTAATTTCAATTCTCGGTGGCTAGTTCTTCCCCTTTGTGGTTCTGTATGAGAAGAAATTTAAGGAAACGTTCAGCCGAAGTGAAAATTCAATTGCCCGAAGTGAAAATTCAACGATTACATTAAAAATGTTTCAAAAATTTTGTCTATGACACAATACAAATACAACGTATGTATTTAGCGGATCGGGGAATTCCCCAGTCATGCGACGAACGAACCAGTACTTCCAACCTTATTTTTACATACTCTTTGGTAGATTGGCCATAGAATATACATACCTATGGTAGGTACCAGAACAGTAAGTGTGCATTCACAACGTAGAATTTTGCGCGTTTTTTTAAGTAAGAACAAACTTATATAAATGGTAAACTTATTGTGTATATTATGTAATTACATGTATAACTATTATTCCATAAAACAACACTATGGAAGCAAGAATTTTCTAAAAAATTTCTGGAGACTTATTAATTAATTATACAACACTTTGATCATATTTAAAATATAATTTTGCAGAAGTAATTCATAAATGTATTGAAAAACTATTTAGATATACATTTTTAGCAAAGAAAAAATTGAGTTATGAGTAATTTTAATAAGATGTAGACATTTTTACATTCAATTTGTCATTAAAGTAATTAAAAGAATTTTAGTAAAAACACTTCTTTTGAAAGTGGAACAAATCTATTCAAATAATCAAAGTTAAACTAACTTCCTATTCGCTTTCTTAAATTACTATATGGCTTGGATATAATTTGGATATTTTCTCTCATTCGGCAACACTTATTGAAAGCAGAAGTACATTTGCAGTTAAACAATCGGGTATATATATGTATGAGTTTAATTGCTTATTTTATGAAATCTAATGGTTTAAACTTTACCTGTATATAAGTCATATAAGATTGCACAACTTCTAAACTGTATTGCTTGATAATTTCATGAACTAAAGTTATACCCTGAAACAAATGATAAAAAATAAATTTATTAAATGCACACTTCAGAAAACTATAATTAATGATGCAGAGGAACACTTCAGAAACTATAATTAGTGATATAATAATGATTCAGAAACTATGATAATTCTTAATTCACTTTTAAGATATTTAAATTAAATTTTACAAAATAACAGTCATAAATAGGAAAGCAGAAAACAAATGCACAGCTCATACAGAAAGAAAATTTTTGTGCAATAATTAAAATAGTTTAACAAGATAAAATTAAAGAAGAAATGTTTAGGAAAACAAAACCAAACTTATATAAAGGAAAAGAAAATTTTTTCAATATTTTCCAAAACAAAAGGAATAAATGGAACAGTCCAAATAAGTATCATAGACATAAATGTTTATGTATGTTAAAATAATTTATCGGAAATTTAAAAAATTACTGTACATGCCCCTTACTGTACTGTACATGTACTGCCCTAAATAGAAAAGTCGTGTTGTTAAAAAACTCCATTAAAGTTTAGAGAGAAGTTTAGAGAGTTTTTTTTCTGCATTTACGTTTTATTCCTACTTGTATTAATACAAAAAGTTTTGTGTCTAATCTCATTTCTTTAACTTTAGCTAAGACGTTGTCTTTAACTTTAGCTAAGGAAAAGATTCTCAAAAGAGAAACACGTGACACTTAATTATAAAAAAAAATAAGAAAGTTAGGCTTTTCTTTTTTTAATTTAAATTTTTACAGTTCATGATCCCTCTTAGATTAAATATAGTCCAGTAGAAAATGAGAACAATTATATTTTCAAAATATATAGGGTGTATATATTTCATGGGCATTTAAAAGCTAATCCATAATGCATTTGCCTATTAAATGTTCAACTACGTACTGTAACCTAACTCAGACAAAAGAGGTATTACATAAAGTATTTCAACAAACAACTTCTTGATGCAACTAACCCGTAACTGCAAAGCAAGGGGAATTTAACTCATGACCACTGAGAATATTTTATGCCAACACTATAGTTAATATGTATTCAAGCTAGATTATCAGGAGGAATATGTATCTCATAAGCCTTCGAAGCCCTATGGGGTTTTTATAAATATTTGTAAACCCCTGCGAAGAAGACAGTATCAGGTTCAGGTTGAGTTCAAAATTTCTTCAGCAAAAAGAACAAATCGGAAAACGAAGCTTTGACAAAAAGCTAAAATCAGAAAAAAGTTTCAACAAAATGCTAAAATGCCATAAAGCTCATGAATACAAAATTTTATATTATTCTAATAGCCTGGATGTTTTCACAATCATTTTGAAAAAGTATTAAAATTTCATTAAATAAGATTTCTTTCAAACACTAAAATCTGTAAATAAGCAACAATGTCTGGTTTCATTTTAGCATTTTCAGATAGTTTTTAAGCATTTTGTTGAAAAGACTGCCATAGCAGACACCTTGCATTCAGAAAAAAAAAATTATTAAAACAGCGTTGTTTTCTTACTTTTCTATTAGCAGCCACTTGAGCACGTAAATCAGAGAGATTATCACTTAAATTTCTGGTTCCGCAGCATCCAGGAAGAAGACCAGGAGCTTTCAGCATTTCAGTCACTTCTAAATTAAAAACAGATCAATTGTATTTTTTTTAAAAAAATACACAAAACAGAAAAGGGTATTCAATTAATGAGTTATCAGTTAAGTTTATTTAAATCAAATTATTAAATTAATTAAATCCAATCAATTAAATCCTTAAATCAAATGAATTAATCCTCTAAAAAATAAACTGAGTTAAAAACCTAAATAAATTCCTCACAATGAGTACCAAATTAAGTATATTTTGTATGGCATACTGAACTATAAGAACAGCATGTGAATTTTCCAGGATGCAGTTCATGATGATAGAAATAATTTTATCAAAATGATATGCACAATAAATATTTTAGGGTTTTTATAAGTGAATTTTAAAAAAAGTCACTTTAGGTGCATGCTAATTGGATAACATAAAATTCTTTAAACTCTGAGGAGCTTCTTTCATTTACTAAAAATTAAAATGTTAAGAAAAGAAAGAAAATTGTACAACTTAAGCCATTTAAGAAAAATTATACTTTCTATATTTTTAATACATTAGAATTCATTTTCAATCAAAATAATTTAAATAACGAAAATTGAACATTTATGTAAATTATGAAACAATGTATTTAAATATAAAACTGCCTAGTAAAATTCTTGTTTTAGCTTTCACACATTTGTCTTTTAGTACATAACATAAGTTAATGTATTGTAAAGAAGAAAAGTTTAAAGAAATTGCCATATATAAAAACAATTTAAGCATAACTTTTTTATTGCTTTTGACAAAAAAGAAAAACAAATATTTCCGTCAGTAAAAAGAAAAAATTATGTTAACAAACTTGTCTAGGATTTACAAAGAGTTAACAGAAAAGGATGTTAAGTTGCTTAGTACCAAAAAAAATTTACTTCACAAAATTTGTATTGTTATTTATGTTCGGTTTCAACAAACAAATAGCTGTAGCAGCTATAAAAAAAATGCAATTTATATTGCATAATATTTATACAAGACATTAGAAAAATATATTCCTTGACATTTGCATTAAAGTTTTATTTTTCCCACGTCACTGAGCCCATAAAGCATATTTTGTACAATTCTACAGTATATCTAAAAACCCACCTTTAAAATGGCACAATATCTTTTGAATAAGTGAACTCTAACAAAAACTTCAATTATTGCAACTCCTAAAAAATGTAAAGTGAAAACAAAGCAATGATTTAATATGTTCAAAGGTAAAAAAATTATTAATAAATGCTGATGAAATTAAAATGTGCTTTAAATATATCTAAACTATAGACTAAGCTCATATAGGATTTAAAGACCTCCTTAAAACCAGTAGCGAACTATCGATGGTACTGTAAGAAACTCTTCCACCACTGTAATAAATATTGAAGCATAAATGTACTATTCTACATTGATGTACATCATTATCAGATAAAACTAAATTATGATAAATTACATCTTTATTACTAATTATATATTTAAAGTGCAGTGTTCATTTAATACATTATAGAACTGCAAAATTTATATATTTTATTTATTTCTCAAATAATAGAAATAAATATAATAAATTAATTAAAACTCTTTCTTGGGTGCATATTTGTCGTATTTCAAATAACAAAAACAGAACAGTATCAGATATTTTGTAAACACTAGCTGTCAGATATACTAAAATCACTTTAATATAGCTGTGAAACAATCTACACAGATTGATACAAATAACTAAACTCGGACTAATATAAGAAAATGAACTTTAAAGGCAGGAAATTACTTCACTAGGCAGAATTACATATCACACAAACCTTCTTCTTGAAATATACCCTCCTTCACAAGCTTGAAAGACACAAAACTTGCTCCTTCTTGAAGTAATGATGTTGAACTGGGAGGCATCGATCCTGGCGTCAGACCTCCAATATCGGCATGATGGCCACGACAAGCAACAAAAAATACAGGTTTAGGCACATTTTCATGAAATACCTTGAACCAATAAAAAACCAATACAGAAGCCATTTGAATAACTTATGTTTGTCAAAAATTATACACAAAATAAATATATTTGCTAGTTACAAGTCAGTCAGGTTAAAAAAACTTAATAAGTAAAATATCTAAAGATTAATAGTAATTGAGATAGGATCGGCGATCTATATAACGACTACCGTGGTCCAGAGGAGAACGAACGTTATATCTTGGGTGCGCAAGAATACAATAAATATTAATTCGTACCTAAAAAAATAACTACATAATTTACACAAAGCAATGCTTTGCTTTATTAAGAATTTGGTGATGAGCAGAAAAAATTTGCATTGATGAAACTTTTTTCTACATTAATATAGTATGCACTCTTTAAAAAATATTTCATTGGTGAAATATGTATTCAAAATTATATACTAGCTTAGGACTGCCATTTTTGTTAAATAATGTATGTCAAGGTAAATGCAAAGACCACTTTCAACTCAAATAAACCACACAAGGGGAATGACATTTAATAAACAATAAATGCAATTTTCAAAGAAGAAAATTAAGATTGATATTGTATCCTTTGAAAACAGAGTTTTAAATGACTACAAATTATGACCACCTAAGACTCAGAATAAAAATTTAAGAGGTCATACCCCCCTCTCTTTTATTCCAGGGGATTCAATGTGTTTTACATTTATTATTTCGTAACATGAAAGAAAATAATGGTTTAAATAATATCTTTGAAACTTTTTCTAAATCAAATTATTCAAATTCAGTGATTATATTGGAACGAGCGGCTTTGTGAAGACATGCTAATGGCATCTATGAAATAGCAAACTAGACTTATGCATCAGTCTTTATAATGGAAGGGTCACTGAAATGGACGATCGTATTAAAGAGCGTAAACTGTACAATAAATTTCAAATCTATGAATATTTACTTTTGCATGCAAGTCATGTAATGCAATTAGGTGCACAAATTATTTTCAATTTTCCTTCAGTTTCTAAAGCTATTTTACAGGAGAAATATAGGGTTTTAATATTAGTTGTTTTGCTCCAACTTTTTGAATTTCCTGATAAATATAAAGCATTAAATATTGAGCATTGTAAACATTTTTGTTTACTGTCACGTTACGATATTATTAGCTGATACTTACTCACTTGTTCATTAATTTCATTAAATTTTAAAATATATGTTATGTTTTAAAAAATTAGCAGAAGATAGAAATGGAAGAATTAGAAGTTAGAAATTGGGAAGTTAGAAATTTCTTAATATGTTCCAAAACTGCATTTATTTCAAAAAATTAGCATTGCTTTTTTAAATATTGATTATATTTGTAATATATAAGTACTAAAATTCATTTTTTAGGTATATTAATATTTATTTGTTTAATACTTAATTAAGATGTTTTGCAGATAATTCCGTATCAAAATGTTATGCTTAAAAAAAAATTGCCAGTTTAGTTTAGTTTGTTTATCTGAAACTTATCTTGCAGACAAACTAAATAGGCCATGTTAATGTTTTTTCAATGCATAATTCTAGTATATAATAGCAAATTTGTAGTTAAAAAAACTCATTGAAAAGTTCAAATATTTCTCAAAACTACATACCAGTCAATTGGTATTATGACATTTATTCAAGATAAATAATGATGTTTGAACGGAAAAAGGTGTGATGTACAGGTTTGGATTCAACTTCTTTTGACAATACATTTTACATTTTTGACAGAATACTTAGAAAGTAGCAAGATATGTACTCTTTCATGCTCAGTGTTTTTCTCTTCAGTTGAAACTAACTATTTCAAGGAAATTTTGTTTGATAAAGTAATGACTTTCAGGGGGCTGTAATACTCTTTTGAGTTTGTAATGATAGAATTAAAATTTATCATCAAAAGGGCTTTTCAGCAATAGTATAGATTATACTTTGTAAAGATTTTTGTTGTCAATAGTTTTCCTTTATGACTCTTATGATTTATTTTACTTCTACGATAAATTTGGTGTTACCAAGTGAATTTTAAAAAAAGTGTGTCCTTTTTTTAGTTTGTCTCATTTGCAAACTTTGCTTTCTCTTACTCCCAAGTCTAAGAGATGCATAATGATACAACAAACAATGGCCCTGTTACAAAGATTTTCTGATTCAGATTTTTGAAGATATAGATATTTGCCAGCTAGAGCTCAATGAACCAGGTGTTTTAACTTATATGGAAAATATAGACGAAAATTACTTAGAACCTGTTATGCCATTCTATGTTTGGGGAATATTATTTTTAAATGTAATAATGGAAAAGAGGAAGTACAAATTGAATCCTATAGTCAAGCACAAATAAAAAAGGAAGAAAAGCCCAATTATAAAATCTAATTAGAAAGTAAAATTTTATGAGACAAATGGAACCCAATTTTTTTTATTGTCTTTAGATGCTTTTTACATGCAATTTTTTTTTAAATTTCAAGTCATTTGGTTTACTCTTTCTCAATTTGGCATTTAACAGTTAAAATGGGAAATGTAAACCACATTGCCATCAAAATGCTAATGATCATTATGACCCCCTTAACCAACAACTGTCTATAGTGGTAGTATTTTACTTTTTTTTTTCATTCATCTAGCATTTATTTTTTAATAGTATTCATTTATGAAACTTATTTAATTTTAGTTTGTCGGTAAGTAACATTTGAAAAGAAAACAGATAATTTACTATACAACCACTGCAAGTTATCTAGAATAATGGATAAACAGACCAAGTAAAAGAAAATATTGCTGGAAATTTTGTGCAACAAATATCACAATTTAAAAATTAAATATGTAACTTAAATCCACAAAATTATAAATGTATACATTATGCTATAAAATACATACAGGAGTGATCACAGTCAAATCAGGAAGATGACTACCACCAGCACATGGATGATTACTTAAAATAACATCCCCGTCATGTATGTTATCTCCCAAATGTCTCATCTATGAGAAATACAAAACAATAGTGCTGAAAAATTCGATCATTTATTTATTACACAATTTTATTTCATAATTAATTGAATTACACTCAATTTGATCCTGTTTATAACTTCTTAAAATTATCACAAAATTAAATAAAATATTCATATATAAAAATATTATTAGTGGAATCAATATATTATAACTAATACATTTTTCACACATTAAGCTCTTAGTAAGTAAACTTATTAATTAAATGTCTCCTCTATAAGATAAAACAATATAACTTAAGTTATGATCATTTATATATTACATGGCTATATTACATGGCTTTATTTCATGATTAAAAATTAATATACACTTAATTTTATCTTGCTTAAAAATTCGTAAAATTATTATATGTTTACATAAAAGAATCATAAATAAAAATGTTAGTAAAATGAAAATATTATAAACAAGGCATTTATACACANTTATTTCATGATTAAAAATTAATATACACTTAATTTTATCTTGCTTAAAAATTCGTAAAATTATTATATGTTTAAATAAAATAATCATAAATATAAATAATGTTAGTAAAATAAAAATATTATAAATAAGGCATTTATACACAATAAGGTTTTAGCATAATATGTTATTTCCTAAATGTTTTGGCCATAACAGATGTAAAACTATAGTAGTGAAAAATCTAATTATTTATACAAATAACACAAGTTTTAGTTAATCGGAATACTGCATAACTTGGGAACTCTCATCATTTGGGGTTGGTGGGTGCGCTTCTTTCATTTCAAACAGTGGATCTAACCATTATAAGGTGCATTTATCAGCAGGTGGATGAGCATTTCAGCTGCTCACAGAAGCAAGTTCTGGAAGATCAAGATCATGTCAATTCTAATCAGCAATTAAATCTGGATAGCAGGGAAAAGCTTTTTCCTAAGACAAGCAATTTTTGATTGCTTAAATAGATCCCAAATCAAGACATGATTGATCGTCAAAATGAAACACAAATTTAGACTTCAAACAAATGAGAGAGAAAAAACAAAATGATGACTTTGAACTACAACTGGACTTGAGAGGATCTTCTGATGGTGAAATAACTTCAACTTGGCCTTGCACTTAAATTCGTAAACAGAATTTGATATGGTTCTTTTCTCTAACTTTGTTTTACCCTTGCCTCTAAACCATTAGCCATTTTTTTAAATGTTAGTACATTTTAGCAGTTTCTGGAATTTGAAACTTAGTTTCTTTCATTGATTTAAATAAAAATTTGGTTTAGGAGTGGACCACGTTGAATACCCCTTGGAGCAGACCATCACAGGAACATCTCTATTATTTATAAAATACTTTTATCTTATAAAAAATTCACACTAAATTTGATTCTGTTAACAATTAAAATTTATTTGTTTGAAATATATTCATACAAATTTGTATATAGAGATAGTAAAATAAAGAAACACAAATAACTCACACAGAATAAGCTCCTAGCAAACACAAACATTTATGAAAACAAATTTCAATTAAAATAAAGCAACATTAAGCAGCAAAGAAAAACTAAAAGGAAATTTTAAAAAATATTGATTTTTTTATTTTACTCATTATAAGATTTAACATCATGAAATATCTTACAAAATATTTGTGTTGCAATACTATTAACAAGCACTTTTATAATTTGATATCAAATAAAAATATTTTATTTAATTAATATTTTATTTAATTTCGTTAAAATTATGAAGAATATCTTATTACGATGTTAAACCCATTTGAGCCTACCATCTTTTTAAAAATGTGATTCCTTTTTTCAAAAAAAGGAAAAAGTGTTTCCTTATTAGTATTTATTTTCCAGAAACATTATAGGGTAAACCAACCAGTGAAGGAACACTACCCAGTGAAGGCACATTTCATATATATTGATTAAAAATAAGAATTTGAAAGTTTCTCTTTAGATTGATTGGTAACAATAGCTTACTGCCAAACAATAGGAAGATATCTAGCGATGTTTTGGATTACCTGGTCAATTATCTGGTGCCTCTGCGTTATTATCTCTGCAACACCTTGTTCTTTGAAAAAACTATAAGGTGAGTGTTTGCATTTATATGTTTGAAGTGGAATTAATTGTATGTAATAGTTTAATTTTTCTCACTGTGAAAAAGAGAATTCAAAATATAGTTATTGAAGTTACATTTTATTTTTTTAAAGCATCATAGCGTAATAAAGTACTGAGATAAGGGGGTGTTTATTCACTGGATCACCGAGCGATGAAAAACCAGTGAAGGAACAAGTGTTCCTTTACTGGGTTTTTTTCTAAGTTAATGAAAATAAAAGATAAACTTTAATTTTCTTGTACCTTTAGTGATGTTCTGCATCAAAAGTATGTTAAAAATACGAAAAACTATTTCTAACCAGTGAGGGAAAAGGCATGTTCCTTTACTGGGCATAGATTTCCCAGTGAATGAACAGTATGTGTTAATATGTTGACACTTTAATTTTCAATTCATGATTACAAAAAAAAAGTTAACATTTTCCAAGTATTTATATGTTATAATTTCAAGAATAAGCTTGCTTTTAAATATTTTTATGGCTTATAAATTTATAAAGAGCATTAAAAAATAACCAAAATTAAGTGTTCCTTTACTGGGTGTTCATTCACTGGTAAGAGCTGTTCCTTCACTTGGTCTTCTTACTACTTGTTATTTGAACCTCCAAAACTTTAAAACAATATTATGTAAGTTCTCTACAATTTTTTTGCATAATTTGCAATTAGTAACAAATATGTTGACACTGTCATTTAACT